TGGAGCTGACATTTGTAGGCTGTGGTATCTTTGGGCAGGCTCATGACAGCCCTGTTTGGCTGGGCTGGTAAAACATGTGCTGCTTGCCCTGGTTTATGTCTTAGGTGCTGAAATTCTGGAGGTGTGACAAGATTTGGTAGGGCTGCTCTTACAGGGCAAGACATCCTGGCCTCGCCATGCCCTGCCGGAGGCCCCTGCGCTTCTGGGCCAGGCTGAGGGCCAGGAGACCAGCTGGGATGTGTCTGCAGCACAGGTCCCAGGTGGGGGTTTAGTGGAGCAGCTTCTTTCCCACGGGCTGGGACTGGAGCTGGAGCCTCAGCATTCTCCCTGCAGTTTTGTCCCATGCAGAGCTCAGGGAGATGTGGCTGGAGGATGAAGAGCTGGTGGCTCACACTGGTGGCATTGCCAACCTCATGCTAGAGCAGCTCATGAGTAGCTTAAAAATCTCTGGAGACTTTTTTTTCCCCCTCTGTCTTCTTGTTTCAAAGCAGCTGAGTTATACTTGGATTATTTTCCCAACCTTTTGTTCACAGCTCTGAGAACTCATGGCTTGTTTTTACAGGAAAGCTGAGAGTTTTACGTCTTTGGGTGAGTCTGAGAGAAGAAGCTTTTGGAAGAAGAGCAGGTTCTTAACAGGATTGCCAGTGATTTGGGGAGTGACAGCTTGCTCTGTAGCCCTGACTGTCTCCCTTCACAAGGTTCATCAGGCAGTGTGAGACACAAACTCTGCTTGTGAGCAGGGAAATGAGGGACTGTGGAAAGAGGCAACCAGTGCTTCGTGCTGGTAACATTCCTCTTCAAAATGCTGCTTGTTGAACATTACCTTGGCGAAGGTGGATGGTTTGGAGAAGAGGTGATGAATAAAACAGCAAGGCTGGAGTTTGCTGCTATTCTCAGAGCTTGCTGTGAAAGAACAGAACTCATTTACAAGGATTGTGAGCAACTGGTTTGTGGTGCTGCTACAGGGCTGGATTATTTCTTACAGAAGGAAAAATTCCCTGTAGAAAGGAAGAGAAACTTTGTTAGTGGAGGTGAGACTGGCAGACAACATCTTCCACATGCAAACACCTGCAGCCACAACTTGCTTAAGCCAGAAAAGTCTAGGGGCCAGAGCAGGAACCAGACAGACAAGGTTCAGGATTTGTTTCTGGCTCTTGCACACGCTGGTTTGGTGACCTTGGCCAAGTCCCTTCTCTCCCTTGTGTTCCTGTTCGTAATAGGATGAGAGTCTGTGGCTTTTGTAAAACGCTCTAGGAGCAAAAATAGGCTTGTGTTGAGGACAGTGACCAGCTGCTGGAAATGAATAGAGCCTTTGTAGGGAAGGGTGTCCTTCCCCCCCTGTTTTAGCTCCCAGTTATTTGTGCTTCCTCAGGGATTCGAGATGGGACAGCGGTTAAACAAATGGCAGAACTGTCTGTCTTCCATAGCTTACGTGCCACTGAGCACTAACTGCATTTTAACCCTGTTGTGAGGCTTCTGTTTTGCAGAAGGAAATCTCTGGCTTGGTAACCCCATCCTTTTTTTGGCTGCTGAGCAGGAGCTGATCCCATCCTGGTGGGATAGGGATGTACCAGGCTGCTGTGGGATGTGCTGCTGTGCAAAGGAGACCCAAGGTCACCCAATCGTTATCTGTCTCTGTGGCTGTTGGCAGCCACCTCCGAGTGCAGTGTTCCTGCCATCCTGAACCTTTGACTCCCTTCCTGCTGGTTGGTGCTTTGCTGACGTAGGGACTTGCTCAGCTCAGGCTTCCTGGGTCGTTAGTCCATTGGCAACCAGGGTGGTTGCTGAGCTGAGACTGCTGCAGGGACACTCAGTGCTCGAGGGTTGTTTTGGGGTGATTCCTAAAACCAGGAGGTCACTCGCTCGTGGGTTGCCCTTAGATTGGTCCTGGCATTGCCTGCCATTCTGCTTCCCAGTCTGGTAAAGAAGGATAACTATTTTTAAAGGAACTTTGAGGATTCAGCAGTGACTGGTTAAAGAAACCTTGCAAGCTTGTGCCAGGCGTTTGAAGGTCAGGACTGCTCACAGCAGACTGAATTCCCTGATCCCAGGCTGGTCTCATTCTCAGAGAGGGACTCTGCTGCTCTCCATCATGCCTCTAATCATCCTTAAGACAGCCTTTAAGGACTACAGAATTAATTTTAGCTGGAGTTTTGCAGGGTGGTGTTGTTTACTGTGGACTCAGCCTGTGTCTCTTTGCCCTCCCACCTGGGCTCGGGTTCCCAGGGTGCAGCATCGGTGGAGGAAAGGAACAGTATCAAGTACCAGAAATGCTCTGCAAGTTTAATGAGGCAGGAAGGAGGTGGATGCAGCTCAGCTTGGTTGCTGCTGCCTGGTTCCTCTCCTTGCATTACAGAGTCAGGAGTGCTGCGGCTGTTATTGGGCTCTGCTTTATTCGCTTCCATTTTTGTATTAGCAGAGACCCAAACTTGGCTCTTTTTTGCCCATCTCGAGCAGAGCTGCACAGAACCAGCAGTGTGTGGTTCACCTCTGCTGTGTTTACTGTTTTCCTGTGTACAAGTCATGTTTTTGCTGTACTTTCCCTGTGCTGCTCAGAGGTGGTGCCTGCTGGCACTGCTTTGTTCACCCCGGGACAAAGCAATAATTCCTTGGCAGATAAAAACAAGCTGCACGTACAGGACTCTGTGTAAAACCAATGCTCTGTTGTTCTACACAAGGGATATAGTTGTGCAAGTGTCATGCTGAGACACCAAGGCTTGGAGCAAAAGGATGCCTGGATAGAGGAGCTGGCAATCCTTTCCCCTGCCTCCAGGGCTCCTTTTGGGCCATCAGACCTCTCCACTCACCCTCCAGTGCTGGTCTGCAGTGCCTAGAGGTGCTGACTAAGAGCTCGTGGATGGGCACACAAGGTTGGTCTTTGTGGTCTCTGAAAACCTCTTTGCTTTGCAGCCTGTGCCTTTGCTGGTCTCTGGAACTGTGTCACCATCAACCCCCTGAACATCGCAGCCGGCGTGTGGATGATGTGAGCAGAGTTTCTTTTCATTTTTGCTGCTGGGAGGGGGGGTCTGTTAATTAGGTCCTACTGAAGAAAGGGCAGAGCTGCCCTGCTTGGGCAGTGGATGGGAGCAGAACATCCATCAGGCTCTGGGAATTACCAGATCTTGCTCCATCAGGCAAGTTGAAATGTTGAGTGTATTCTATTTGTAGTATTTCTTTATGCCTTTTTTTAGGTAAATACTGAGATACACTTGTCCAAAAGAAGTGTAGAGCAGCAGGGTTTGGGAATTACAAGGAAGAGGAGGGGAGCACAGTGTGGTCTAGCCGTGCCATTCCCTTCACCTGCATTTGGGCATGGAGTGTCTGGTCTCAGGGGGATTGGAGGGCATTGCTGGCCACGTGGGCAGGATTAACTCTGGTTTCCTCTTTCTGGAGGCTCAATGCCTTTGTGCTGTTCCTGTGTGAAGCTCCTTTCTGCTGCCAGTTCATCGAGTTCGCCAACATCGTCTCCGCCAAGGCAGACAAGCTGCGAGCCTGGCAGAAAGCTGCTTTCTACTGCGGGTGAGGATACTCCTGGGTCAGGGTGGGATACATCACACCGTGGTGGATGAGCATCCCTGCATTCCACAGGGAGTGGAACCTGGCCTTGAGGGTGCCTCTATCTTCCAGGATGGCTGTGTTCCCTGTCATCCTCAGCCTGACGCTGACCACGCTCTTTGGAAACGCCATCGCCTTCGCCACCGGAGTGCTCTATGGGCTGTCAGCACTTGGCAAGAAGTAAGGGAGATCTGTCTGCTCCTGAAGGGCAGGGAAGGGGGAGGTGGAGCTCCAGCCCTCATCCCACCTGCCTCCCTAAGTCTCCGCCTTCCTCTTGCACTATCTGTGCTTTCAGGTGTAGATAATGCCAGGGAATATCTCCCTGCTATCATGTCAGAGCCCTGGGAGGGAAGGTCCCAGTGTTTGCTGAAGCTCTGAGCTTCTCCTTGGAAGATCAGTTTAGGTTGTTCTGTGGGTTCCATCCCTCTTCCCACAGCTGTTGGGTGAATGGGCTGAGCTCTGGAGTGGTAAACAATTTGTGGGGGTTGGAGAGGAACAGCAAGTCTCATTTCACTCCTGGCATCCCTTGGCATGGAGGGTTGGGAGTTGGGAAATCTCACTGCCAGGGACTGTACCCACCACAATGGGCACATGGAGCTCACAGCCCCACACTGTCCCTTCTCTCTGCAGGGGAGATGCCATTTCCTACGCTCGGATCCACCAGCAGCAGAAGCAAATGGATGAAGAGAAGCTCACGGGGACCCTGGAGGGACAGGCTCTCTGAAGCACACAAGATCAGGGTAACCTCTCCTGGGCACTGAGATGGTGAAGATATGGAAATCCACTCTGCCTTTCCTTCTGCCTCCTCCCCTCTCTGCTGCACCATGATTTCCCTGGACACTGCAGCAACTGGAAATCTCAGGGGCTGGGGCAGACTGTGGCCTCTTCTCACACCAGCAGCCAGACCTCAGTGCATTGGCCCCTCTCTCCTTCTCAACCAAATATCTCACAGTCCCCCTATTTTTTAATCTGTTTTTTTGTTTTGCTGCAGAGGTGCTGGCTCACTGGGTGCTGCTTTCTTAGCCTCAACAGACAGCTTTTCTTTGGAGTCAAGAATGCCCCTTTGGGAACTGCTGCCTGGATGGGTGAAGAGGGACAGAGATAACCTGTCAGCTCTTTGCCTGCTCTGGCCTTGTGGGAGTCAGGGAGCTGCTGGCAGGGGTAACCTGCCACTGCAGGTTGCACAGGTTTAGTAATGCTGTCTGGAGTGGCCCTTCCCAGGTATAACACACTAACCCAGGGTTTGCAATGCCCCATGATGCTCAAGCTTGGTCTTCTTCCAATGAGTTTATTTTAATATGGGTCCAGCAAGGCCACACACCAGAGGCATCGTGGCATGGGCAAGGAATTATAGCAGGAAAACATGGAATGACAATAACCATCTCTGCAGAGGAGCTGGGGCAGATTCTGGGACCTACAAAGCACAGTCCTTGCTTCCTCTGGATACAGCTGCAGGCAGTTACTGCAATGTACTTGAATTATGAGAACTAATTGCTTTGTCTTAATAAGGGCACGTTTCTTAAGCTTCACTCTTCTACTGGGGCAGATGGAAACAAGGTTGGCTGTACCTCAGCTGAAAAAGGGTGTTATTGCTGAAGCCAAGTGGGATTTTTTGCTGGTTTAAGGGTTACTTATGTGCAAGAGCATCCTTCCCTTATGAGTCTGGGACTCTGCTCTGTTATCTCCTTTCATCCCTGCTCCTGTGACCTATCCCTTTGTGGAAGGGACCTGTTCCTTGTTTGCCTGGTACAGCCTTTGTCTTTGGGCTCATTTTTTTTTGCCTCAGCACTGAGCTGGTTGAGTATGGGAAGGTGCCATATCCTTCCTGTGCAAACATAGAGGAGGCTGCACTGTTTCAGTGTGGACAGCTGGGATGTCTTGCTTCATTATTCTGGGCTCCATCAGTGGTTTTCACATTGTATTTTCTGTTTACTTTGTACCATGCAGAACAAAATTGCTTGCTAGATCTAGATCCCCCTCATCTCATCATGGTTTCTTCTGGGGAGTTTAACTTATTTGATTTTTACATGATTGCCTTTTGGTTTGATTAGGAAAATGGGGAATAATTTATTTTGAGTTATTTAAGTATTTTGATGGAACTCGTTTTCTCTGGACATAGGAGAAAGGAGTGCTCTGTTTCCTTCCTGTCCTTCAAAGTGCTGCCTCATTTCACCAGAGCTCTCTGAGCCCAGGGACAGCCCTGGCTGCTGTAACTGAGGTGCTGCAAAATCCAATTTCAGCCTTCATAGCATTAGACTTTGAAAAGTGTGTTGTCCTTTGACCCTTTTTGGCTTGTTCTGAGCCACTGGCTTGACAAAGTGTGTTTCCCCCCTCTTCTAGGAGAGAGAAGGGAGGAAAACTAGACTGTTACTGCTGGATTGAAGCTGCCACCAGCACTTTGTGTCCCCAGTTGTTGTATCCATGGGTACAGAGGGGCTGTGCTGTGGCCTGAGAAGTGCTGCTGGAGGCTGAGTGCTGTCTGTCAGATGGGTCTGTCCACCAGCCTCTGAGCAGTGTCATGTTGAAAACTATCTGTATACCCTGTCCTTCCTCTGCTGTGTTCCCATCAGCTGAACGACCCCAGCACATCCCTGGCAGAGCTGGGGCTGGAGCTGTGCTGGGGAGTAGCTGGGCATGGGGTTTGGGGACTTGTGTAGTGTTTAGTAGAGGAATGTTGCAGACATGCACGTAGCTGTGAGCATGTCTTTAGTAGTGACTGCTTTGCTCTGTGAGTAGCTCCACAGTAGCTTTATTGATGAGAGGTGAAAGGCAAAGCAGAGGTGATGGGATGATGCTTCCAGACTGGCTGAGGAACCATGAAAGTGGTGGGACCCTCACTAGCTTCATCTGACTGTCCCAATACCTTGGACCAGCAGTGGAGTTGGGGTTGGGGCAGGTGGGTGCTGCTCTAGGGCTCATCACCATGGAGGGACTGCTCTGCTCCCTTGACACCAAGGCAGGAATCCCTTGGGTGCCAGGAGTGCTGTCATAGTGTGTTTTGTGGCAGTGAGCTCTCACACTGGGGCCCAGGCAAGCAAACAATCTGCATCCATCTGCCACTGTTAGCAGGTTTCAGCTCTCAGCTCTGGGCTATAAATGGGCCTCAGGGACTCTTCTGTAAGAGCTGAGCTGGAGCCTTTGGCCACAATGCTTAAAGACAGCAGGTCTGTGCCTGCTGCAACTGGAGGTGTCTCAGATCTGTGCTCCAAGTGTGCTGACTCCTACAGGTGCCTGTCTGGAGTGGGAACTCTTGGGAATTTCAGCCATCTGATTCAGCTGAAACCAAGCCAGAGGCTGCCATCGATGCAGTTAGGCTTGGTGACAGCACCTGTGGCTTATAAAAGTTGTAGTGACAGTTAGATGGTCTCATCTCTGTGTAGACAGGAGGCTGTTTCGTGGAGATAGAAAGAACCTTTAGAGTAGTAGCATCACAGTAGTTAATATGCCTGTTCACAGTGCATGGTGCTTATTAATTGTGTGTAGAGGCACCCTGAGGGTGCTTGGAGCTGTGTAAGGACAAATGAAGTTCAAAGCCCTTCTCTAGAGGTTTTATAGGCTCAACCCAATCCCCACCAATGGCATCCAGGCTGAATGGCTAATCCACAGGGTCTCTATGGAAGAGGTTCTTCTTGCCAGGTCCTGGAAAGGCCTTTTGGGAGATGATGGGACAGAAGGTTTGCTATGTGAGAAGTTGAGAGTGGGTGCTGCATTGACTACAGTGAGTTGTTGACACAGAGTGTAGAAGGACACCTGATTACTGGCAGCACTTGTGCCCTCAGCAGTGGCTGTTACACCAGTCACCACGTGAGCACTTACACAGTGTGTGACTCTTCCATGTCCCATTCAGCCACTGTCCCCTGGGGCTGTCCATTGGGCGTGAAGAGCAGAGCAGAGCTCACTTTCTGCTGCATCCCCAGACATCCCTGCCCTGGGCAGGAGCTGGTTTTGTAACACCCATCGATTCTCTGTGTGTGCAGTGAATAAAAACACCATTCTACCTCTGGAAAGAGCCACTGTGATTTCTCAGACTCTAAATGCTGTAGCAAAACCCCTCAGACTTTTTATATCGAAGAAAGGAAGTCATTCAGAAAGTTCTTCTTGAATGAGGTTCTCACAGGGCCTGAAGAGTTCAACCTCATTTCATATTTGGGCATTTCCTCCTTAGGCTGAGCCCTGGGAAGCTCAATTCATCCTTGTCATTTTTTTCCTCAGGAAAAAAAATCCATTGTCTTCAGGGAAGTCTTTCACTGAAGTGAAGATATCAAGACCTGGTCCATAGCCATGTGAGAAAGAGAACACTCTAGCACAGGGCTGCCAGAGATCCTGATCTTCAGCAGGTCAGTGGAAACCAGAGGCTCTTGAGACCTCCTGTAGTCGGGCCATGCTTAGAAACAGTCATATTCCAGCCAGGGCTGAACATCTTTCTGGAAAAGGGTCTCAGCAGCATAGGTCTAATAGTGAATGTTGTCTCTGTTTTTTTTGTTTGGCCCACCTCTCTTCCTCTGTCCCAGGCTGCTTTAAATCAATCCTTTTCATCTTCTCTTAGGTGAGTTCTCTCATGTCCTGCTGCAAGGGATCTAAATGGCTGCTGGCATATCATGAGGGCTGGGTCATGTATGTTGGGTTAGCTCCTGCTTCCTTGTGACAGCAGGCTGAATGTCCCAGGAATGGGAGGACACAGACATCCCCACCAGCCCTCGAGGTGCCAAGTGCATTCCAGGAGGTTGGACAAATGCTTGGGCACATCTTCTCCCAGCTCAGCCTTTGTTGTGCTGCTCTTTTGGGAGGAGTTAGGTCAGATGTGAGACTCAGCAAGGCCATTCATTCCTCACAGCCATAACCACCTCCTGCCACTGTGTCTTACCTAGGGTTAGGCTCCAAACAGTAATTAAACAAGTCCTTAATCTTGCAGGACACACAGGAAAGGAGTGAGAGTGATTTGCTACTAACTATGCAGCTGAAATCTCAAACTGATGGAGGTGGAGGCTCCACACAACCGTGATGGAGGCACATCCACCTTCCTTTGTGGATGAGTAAAATCCTGTGGTGGGAAGGACCCACCCTGGTACAAAGTGTTGTCAGTACTCACTGTGTCTTTCCTACAGTGAATCACTTGCACTACAGCTGAATGTTTGTCTGTTCCCATTCTTTCTTTTGTCCTGGATTTACTTTGTGAACTGTATTTGGTCTTGTTCATTAGGGCTTCTAGTGTAATGTGTGTTTTTAGAGCAATAAAATGTGGCAACTTTTTATATAAAATACCTGGCTCTGCCTCTTTTACAGTCTTGGAGTACACAAGACTCATCTGGGAAGCTGCAGACTGCTGTGGGCCCCTTGTCACAGTCCTGGCCTGCCTCTCCCATCCCACCTGCCAGCAGCTCCCTTCTCCATAAATTAGGGCAATATCTTGCAGTTGAAGGCAAAACTGTTTTATTCTTGCAACTACATGATGAGATTTTGCCAGATCTGCTCCAGCTGTCACCTCTGCTCCAGCCAAACCCTCAGGCTCTTCGGCTGCTTTGGTGGCTGCTGAGCAAAGGACATCCATGGTCTCCTGTCTGCAGCCATACCTTTATTTTCCAGGACATCCTTATCTCCAGCCTGGCACTGGTCACCTGGTCCCATCCCATGGGTTGACATGTTGCCCAGAGAGCAACAAATAGTGTTGAATGATGGAAAGAGAAGGTAAAGTTCCAGTTGGCAACTTCTACACCCAAAGTGAGATGATCATTGCTGCCTGTTCCTGTCCCATCGCCGTCACAGAGAGCTCCAACCTCCACCTCCAGCAGCACAACAGTTGCTTTGCCCTTGAGCCTGTGGATGATGAGCCCAGCACAGCAGATGATGGGAGCTCCTACCTCATGAAGGACCTCCGACCAGTCCTGAAGAAGGCCTCGATCTGTTCCAGGGATCTGCCTTTGGTTTCGGGAACGCAGCAGCCTGTGAATAAGATGTTCCCAGCACTGATGACAGCAAAGAACAGGAAGGGCACCTCGAGGCCAAAGGCATTCTGGAAAGTGGGACAGAAAGCAGATGTGAGCTGATGCAGAGAGGGTCTGACGAGGAGCTGCTGGACACACTCCTGGGCAGTACCCACCACAACAAAGAGGAAGGACTGGGTCAGGGTGAAGGCTGTCAGCCAGCTCACAACAACACAGAGGCCTGAGGCCACCCCACGGGCTTTCAGAGGGAGGATCTCCGACATCAGCAGCCAGGTGATGGGGCCCCAGCCCATGGCATAACCTGCAGGGCAGGAGGGAAAGTTATTGAAGATTCAAAGCTCCTTGAGGAGTGCAGAAGAGCCCTGTGCAATCCTGCTCTGCAACCCCAGCAATCATTATCCCCCCATTCATACTGTCAGTCCTCCAAGTGATACCAGATGCCATCTTTCTTGGTCTTCCAGGTACATCTGGCTTCTTGCCACCTCCAAACCCAATCTCCTTGCCCTTTTATTTCCCTGTCTCAGTTGAGAAACATCTCCCCTGGTTGGTACCCAGTCCTGTGATGAGGGTCCTTGGTGCTCTTGCTTTCTGCACTTACCCATTATGAAGAACATGGTTGCCAGGAGAGGGATGAGGGTGATGTAGTTTGTTGGAGGTTGGTAGGGCTCACCAGGGTCTTGTTGGTAATGGTGTCATTGTGATAAGCTGTCGTGAAGTGGATATAGAGCCCCATGGTCAGGTTGGAGACCAGCATGACACCAGCTGTGGAGAGATGCAACAGCACAGTGGGAACAAAGGGTGAGTGATCCCTCCATGCCAAGGACTGAGATCCTGGGAATGCCTCTGTTCAGAAACAGAGCACCACCAAAGGAAAGAGACCTCCCCCTCCCCCGAGTCCCGTAGGGCTGAATTTTCCACTCCTTCACATTTGCAGAGCTCCTGGAAATCCTTACCTTCCTTTGCACAGCTGTGAAAGGGAGACATACCTGATACAAAAAGAAGAATCTTCCTCCCAGCTTTATCCATTGACACGGCAGCGATGGCCACTGAGAACAGACGTACCAAGCCAACAAGAGCTGCATCATACTCTGGTTTCTACAAAAAAACAGCAATGGGGAAGCTGAGCTGGAACAGGGAAGGGACAAGTTCCTACAGGTGCTGCCTTGACCTGACTGATGATTTGGCCAAAAACTGTCCTCCTAGTAAGAGACTGGAGAAGACAAGCCTGAAGCTGAGAGGAGAGCAGGGAGTCAGTGGGGCCAGTCCTGCTCCCCACCTTCATGCAGCCTCTTGCAGGACAGGTGCTTGGCATTTGCTGCCAACCAGGTGCTTTAGAAAAGGCTTCAAAGTTGGGGTCTTATGTCTGTAGGGTACATGGAGCATTGGACAGCCATCACTGCAGCCAAGACAGCCCGAGCAGGGGCTGAACCTCAGGGCTCACCAGGATGACAGCTGTTTTCTTGAATATTGACTGCAGGTACACAAGGATGCAGGTGACACCTGAGAGCTGCTGCAGGAACCTCATTCCCCCTGCGATCAGGATGGGCTTGTAGATGAAGGGGTCCTTGATCTCAGCAAAGGAAACCCGACGGCTCTGGAAGGGACAAAGCCAAAAGGCTGAAGTGATACCATCTCTGGGCAACACTGAGGCACCAAGAGAATGGCTCAGGAGTTGCCCAAAGGATGGATTTTGTATTTTCATGTTACATTTCTCCATGCTGGTGTTGAGCTTCCTCACCTGCTTCCTCATGCTGTCCTTGATCTGCTCATATTCCTGGGCATAGTCTGTGTCACTGCCACGCAGCCAGCACAGCGACCTCAGGGCCTGCTCATCCTTCCCCTGGGAGAGCAGGAACCGGGGAGAGTTGGGCATGAAGCAGAGCAGGAGGACCATGGCAAGGACAGGCACCTCCCCAGCGACAGCCAGCCAGCGCCAGTCCAGGACCAGCCCTGCCAGAGCAGCATGGTTAGGGGGGAAAGCACACAGGGATGGATGTCCTGGCCTTGCCTCCATATGGGTACCACAATAATTAAGCTAATAAATCCAGCAGGAAAAAAATAATAATGATTGAAAGAAGATTTTGCATACATTTTCTTCTAGCCAAGCAGCATTTTCAGCTGTATGATAGGGGCAATTCCAGCAAGCTCTCCCAAATCTGAGAGTTCCCAACCAGAATCCTGAGAAACCAGGACACATGCTGGCAGGAGGTGTACATGCAGGTAAGTGCATGCTGCCCTTCAGCCCTGATAAACCTCAGCAGGACCCGGGTCTCCAGGCATGGTGATGGCCATGTGTTCATGTGGGTTATGGATTCATCCCTCTGAGCACACACACACCAGTGCAAGGTGCACATGGGTGACCCTGTCCAGAGCTCCTTATCACACCTGAGGTGGAGAGTACGAGGGGAAGAATCTATCAGCTCGCTGAGACAGTTGTTTATTTTCAGCTCCCCTTCCCTACAGTCTCACTGAGGGTTTCCTGCCCTCCAAACACTGAGATACTTGCCCAGTGCATACAGGATGAGGGAGCCCAGCACTGCCATGATCTGAGGACAAGCACCCAGCATACCCCTGACCCCAGGGTGGGAGATCTCCGAGATGTAAACCTAGAGAGGGACAAAACACACTTAGCAGAGCTGCAACATCCAGCTGTCACCCCACAAACCTGCCCTCTGTCATCCTGCAGTCAAACCCTGTGGCCAGGGGAAACCCAAACTGTTGGGAAATTGCCCTCTTGGGGTGGAGACTTGACTGGTCCAGTGTCATGAGCTGGTCTAGGGTGGCAGAGGGGACAGTTCCACTTCCCTCCCTGCCCCAGCACGGAAGAAGTGCTCCAGTGGCATGGTCAGACTCCGTTACTGGAAAGATGTGCCCTGGGGTTACTCAATTCTCATCTTCCCCTCTGCATAAAACATGAGAGTGGTGTTTGGGAGGAAATAAGTGCTGGGAGGAGCAGGGCTGGGGGGAGGACCTGCCTTTCCTTTTCTGCAGACAAGAATCTCCAGCATCAACAGGCTCAACTCAGGCTGGCCATGCCAGGGCTGCTAATCCAGAGCATAGAATCATAGAATCAACCTGGTTGGAAGAGACCTCAAAGATCATCGAGTCCAACCCTATCATGGTTACTAGGCCATGGCACTAAGTGCCACATCCAGTCTCGTCTTGAAAACCTCCAGGGATGGTGAATCCACCACCTCCTCGGGCAGCCCATCCTCCCCATTGCCAGTTGCCCAGCCACAGCCTTAGAGCTCTGCTGATGCCTCCAAAAAAGAGACACTCCAGGCTCAGCTACAGCACCACAGCATCTCCCACCCTGCAATTCCCTGCGAACTCCATCCCTTGACACGTTACCGGGATGGAGGCAGATGTCACACCGCCGGCGTAGCCCGTCAGCACACGGCCCAGCAGCAGCATCCAGGCCCCCTGGGCACTGGCCATCAGCACATAGCCCAGGGTGGAGGGCAGTGCTGAGAACATGATGCTCAGCTTGCGGCCCAGGCAGTCATTGAGCAGCATGGTGCTGAGTCCCCCTGCTGCAGCTCCCAGCGTGAACACCGACTGTGGGGCACAGAGAGGGGCTGTGGTCAGCCTGGGCTCCCTCCACACACCCCAGCAGGGACAACCCAACTCCTTACCCCAAACCAGGATGCTGTGTGCCCATCCAGCCTCAGTGCAGGGTTGGGGTGAGCCTCCAGTGCAGGGATGACGGGTGATGGGTAAACGAGGGCAAAGCCGAAACTGAAGTTCCCCAGGACAGCAGCGAACACGGCCAGGTAGAGCCTCTTGTTGTGGAGGCTCCTGAGGGAAGGGCAGAGAGAGATGGATGTGTTGGCTGCCCTTACTGCACCCAGCAGAAGCTTAATCTCTGTCCTGCTGCTTCCCCCAGCCTTTGTCAAAGTTCTTGTGACACCCGTGGAGAGATTTTCCCAGGGAATGTCCCAACACAGCCCTAAGCCCATGGGGTTTCTCCAAGTTCCTGCTGCATGGCAGGTGGTGAGAGCCTGTTCCCTGGGCACCACCGATGCTCTTCTCTGCCTCAGGCTGTTTTCAGTGGGCTCAACAAATCAAGAGAAGCAGAAGCTGGAGCTGGGTGGCACCACAATCACTGGCAACCAGTTCATCCTGCCAGAGCAAGGAAGAGGTTCTTTCAAAGCCCCCAGCAGGATCTCATGCCCCCATGGGACTGGATGCCCCAAAGCACACACACCCATCACTCTCCCAGATGGTCTCATGCAGCACCACACACCTGGGCAGCTCAGAAACAGCAGCAGTATGAACCAGCTCTTCCCCCAGCTCCCCCAAACCCAGTGCCCTCAGGATGGAGAGCACAGCCCAATTTTCAGCCCACCCTATGGCCCCAGCCTGGCCCTTACTGCAGGTACTCCTTGTCAAGCCTCCTGACAGTGCTCTTGGGGAAGGTCTGATATGAGGAGCTCGTCTTCCTCACGAGGGGCTCCCGTGCACTCGGGTCCATGGCCGTGGTTGGTGTCTGTTGTGGTGCTGCTGTGCTTGGGGCGGGTGCTCAGCGATGACGATGGGGAAGGGGAGGAAGAGGTAACTGAAAACGAAAGGGAAGAGGTTGCCTGGTCTTGCCTAATCAGAGAAATCTGTGCCTCATGAGCTCATGCCTGCTGCCCCTGGGGAGGAAACTGGGGGGGCCGGAAAACCAGCAGGAAAAGAGCCACGAGGTGACAATGATGCCCTGCAGCCTTCACCCCATGCCTGCCCAGCCCTATTGGCACCAAACCCCTGTCACTGCAGTGACACTTGCAGGGTTGATCCTTGTAGAACTGCTTTCACCAGTACAAATGTCCCTTTGCTAAGACCACCTCTCTCTCCTTGAGGAACTGGTGCCAGTTAGACTGGCCAAATGCTGCTTCTATTTACAAGAGTAAATTGCATCTGTGTGAGCTCCTGCAGCCACCCTGGAAAAGGGTTTTCAACATAGACCAGAGCTGAAGAAGAAGAAACCACGGGGAGATGCACATGGAGTGGGCACAGGGAGCAGATGCTGAGTATGAAGAGTGCTGATGAGGTTGGAAAAGGGGAGAGTGGGATGTCTGCCACACTGGGTGCAGCTCTCGGGGGTCTCTACTTGTCCACATGAGCCTTTATCCCTCACCCTGATCCCCTCAACTCCTCAGAGTTCTGTGGTCAGTGTGCTGAGACATCTGCAATCCCTGTAGGGCTGTAAAGTCCAAACTCATCCTGTAGGAAAAGTGTGAGTTTGGACCTTGCTGGCTTGAACCTACTGGCCAAAGCCACTTGGATTTAATTAGCAAAAGATATATTTCCCTAAACTGCTGTAATGCTCTTCTTGTTTCCATTATTCATCTTGGTCCCTGGTGTTTTTGGCACCAACTGGATGGTTTCTGCACATCCACACCTGTGTGGGAGCCCCAGTGAAGCTTCAGCATCAGCCAGGACTTGCTATGTCTTCCCTCCGTGCAAACTGGTTCCCCTTCTGGAACCACCAAGTGCTGCATTTAGTGCCTGATTGGTGCAGGGGATTTACAGCTGACTCAGGCACTTGGGGCTCTGATGTCTCTGCAGGAAGAAAGGTCATGGACTGGGAGGACTCCAGGTTAGATCATCCAGAAAATTTCCAGCACTGTGTTGGTCCAAGCAGGGATGTCACAACAGACCTGGAGCTGAACCCTGTGCCCTGGGCTCCCCCTCCATCAGCAGCCACCATCAGTCACTTCCCTTGCATCCACTTTGCTCCAGGAATCTGGGCTTGCTTCTACTACATGGTTTTGTAGCACCCTTCCTCTTCAAATTCCCCAAGGCCACTCATTGAGAAAATTATTCTGTATCTACTCTGCCCTTCTAGGTCTCAGGTGTTTTCCCCGAATCAGATATACTGAGTCTGCAATGCCATATTTGCCCTGCTCCACCCCACACCAGCTGCCTTTCAGCCCTATGATAAGCTATATAAAAGGCTCCTCAAAGTAAAGTGTGGTAGCAGAGAGAGTGGAGAGCTGCAAGGTGCTGCTGCTGGGGCTCATCTGGTAAAAGGCTGAGGATGAAGGTTCTTGCTGGGGAACGTGGCTGCAAGGTAAGGGTTTTGCTCTTTTTCCTCTCTGGTCCTTGTTTTTGCTATAAGTATCAGTAAAGAGCAAGAAGTGGCCTTGCTGGTTAGCTATTCCTGGCTCTTTTCATCATGGTGCTCTTTGGCAGCAGTTTTTTGTGGACTGTGTAGGGTCCCACCAGCTCTCAGAGAGGTTTGTTTGGTGAGTTGTGGTCCTTGCTGGGAGTGATATTGCTTAAAGCAGTGGTGTGAAACTGGTGTTGCTTTGTCTGTGGTGTGCTCAGGGGTGTGTGGTGTCAAAGACAAGGGCTGAGAGCTTCCTATTTGCAGAGGCAGAAAGGGAAGTTGGGAGAGACTGTGTCCTGCTGGGGTGTGAGGAATTGGTGGCAGTGCTGGGTGCTGAGCCAAGGATTTGATTCTCATGCTTCTGATTTACAAAAGCAGAGATCACTGAAGAATTGTCAAGCCCATAAATGTGCATTAGGTGGTTTTGCAGTATTTATCACACAACTTAATTATCAAGGCTTTCCCCTGAATAGCCCTGTTTGTGTTAGGCTTTTGGAAGGAAGCAGAGTGATGCAGCAAAGGCTGGAGGAGGTGGGTGCTGTGTTTCCTTGGCTGGGAGAGGTGTTAGGATGGGGCTGGGACCCTGTTCCAAGCTGGGCCATGTCCTTGGCACATGGTTGCTGCATGCACCTAGAATCATAGAACCATAGAATATTCTGATTTGGAAGTGATCTACAAGGATCATTGAGTCCAACTCCTGTTCCTGCACAGGACAGCCCCAAAACCCACACTTGTCACAGACCTTACAGAATGATGCAGTATCCTTCCTCAGCCTGAAGCTACTTGGACATGGGACAGAAAGCAGTGTTCAACCCAACCTTACCCCCTCCCCACTTATATCTAGGGAGGGAAAAAGCATATTGGAGGGGAGTCTTGAGCCAAAGCAGTTGGATCTCCCTGAAATGTGGAGGGTTATCCAGATTCTGTGCAGATTTGTCAACTGCTTCAAGCAGGAAATTACTTTGTGTCTTGAAAAGTCTCCAAACACCTGTAACACTGGGAAGCACTGAGGAGCCAGGGCTGAGCCCTCAGGCAGGTCTCAGTGTCCCCTGAGGGAAGTGAGGTCCCTCAGGTGTGGTGAAATGAGTCCCCACACCACATCCTTGCTCTGCCTTATGTGGTTTCTTTCTAAAAATGAAGTGTTGGCAAGGAATAAAGCACCTACCACCTTGTCCCTGATACACATCTCCCTGGGGACTGTCCTGACTTCTTGTTGATCCTACCAAAGTGCACAAGGAGAGGGTAAAGTGAAAGAAGACTGTCAGCAATGTCTCTGGTGGGCTGTGCTTGGCCAGTGGCATGGGGAAGGGGTTTCTGTCCTACTCTCCCCTGTCTGCAGCAAGTTTCAGGGCTCCAGGTGCTGGAGGGTGAATCAGAGAGGGATGAGCTGCCCACTTTGGGAACACAACCTGTGGCTGATTAAAGGGCAATCTGGTTTCGCTGAGAGCTGTTGGCTGCCTGGGCTGGAGTGATGCATTGCTAAGGCTCAACAGGACCTTCTTCCCCCTCTGACAGCTGTGAGATAGATCATGAACATATGCAAAAAAATCAACAGCATCAAAGACACTTGGCAACTTGACTAACCCAATTCATAAATTAATTTCTATTCCTCTTGTAAGGGAGAAATCAGTCACTCCTTGAGGCTATTTGTCTCTATCTCTCATCTGGCCATATCCTTTCATAAATCTTCCTGTGAGTCTGAGCTGGTGATTGCTGGGTCAGGGCAGCCCTGGGGCCAGTTTTCCCTGGGCTGGGACAAGGATTCTTCTCTCTGCATCACCCACATCCCCTGAGGCTGGAGCAGAGCTGGTGTTTTGCAGCATGGTACTGCTCTGTGGGTGGTTTTGGGGAGTACATGATCCCTGTTGGGGAGACATCAGGGCAGTGCAGAGGTGTAGTGAACCATCTCCTTGCAAAACACTTTGCAGAGCCACACACAGTTGTGGTGACTTCTGTGGGCACATGGAGGGAGGGTGAATGCTTGGTGGGGACTGGCACCACACTGGGTGCACCCCTGAGGCATTGTGCTTGTGGATATGAGGGAGTCTGAGCTTGGGAAGCATTTATGGCTGCTCCTCCTGCAGTTTTCCAAGCCCCCATGACTTTGCAAAGCAGTGCCTGCCCCCCCAGCTCCTGATAGGCATTGGCACCTGGATCCCAGGTTAGCTTTTCCAACCAGTCAGACAAGACTCAGCTCTTCCTTGGCTGTATCCCTCACCCTGCTCTCCCTCAGAGAAGAAAATCACCACCTTTCAGGCTGCCATCTGTTTATTTTGTTGGCCTCAGAACTTGCTGAAATGTCTTTCAATGGATGAAGGAACGCAGAGTAGAAGAACAGAGCCTGGCAGGCTGCATGGTGAGTGGAAAATAGGTTTTTTTGGGACTTTCTGGAGTTTGAAGGCCTGATGATGGATGTGCATGCAAGGGTTGGTAATGGCTTTGTAAGTATCCAAACACAGAGCAGAGGAATAACTGCCTAATAGACTGAGAAGTGTGTGTCAGACAGGATCCTCTCTGCTCTGCTCTGGTGCTGAATGATGGAGTGCTGCAGGGCTTGGGAGCAGAGTATGGGTTTAATGTCTTGGAAAAAAGGTGCAACTGGCTTTGAAAAAATATCAGATACCTGCTAGGAATGTGTTGGAAAAGGCTGAATCTTGCCTCTGAGCCTGGAGCTGCCTTGCCATGTCTGCAGTGATCTGTGTGATGGGCTCACAGGGGCTGTGGCTCTGACTCTCTGGGCAAAGCTGCTGCTCCCTGTGCCTCCCAACTCTCCTCTTGCTGCCTTCCCACTCTGCTCAGTGTCCAGACCCACTGACGAAAGTGATGGGTTTATGTGGAAATTTTGTGGGGATAAATATTTGCTGGGTCAGATTGGGATTTTTCATGTGCTGTTTGGAAATGACATTCCCAAACAGAATTAGAATTTCCCATTGAGGGTATTTGGGTTTGGTTTGTTTGTAAGTTAGAAAGTGGTGAGTTTTTGGGTGTTTTCTGGTAGCCATGCAAATGGAAGAGTTGTTCATCCCACCATAGGAATTTTGGTGTCCCACTTCCAACCTGGCTAACCCAGGAACCAGGATGAGCTGGAAGATGTGTGTGTGTGACCTTCAGTTCTGTGGTTTACCAAAAGTAGGATAGTTTTACCTGCTTGTGGGGCTTTTTTTCAGGTCACGTGAATTCTTGTGACCCACAAGTTCCAGTGCTTGTGTGAACAAGTGAAATTGAGGCAGTGGGTAAAAAGGGGACGTGGGGGCAGATCACAGGATTCCGTGCCATGCGGTGGTCACACTCCTTCTGGAGCCTGAATTTCCCCAGGGCTGTGGTGGCTCCTGAGAGGGGGAAGGATACAGCCAGCAGTGCTTGGAGCTGGTCCCTGG